TAATATTTCAACTCGCTAGAGCTGATTTATGACTCTTGATTAATATGCATATCTAAATGTAAACATATATTTACTTTACATATTATTGTGATAAATTCACCCACATCATAATATATCTTATAAATCTATATAATTTGCGTGACAGCTATAACTGAGATACATTGTACATGTATTTGGGCAGACCATTAACACGAATCCTTATCGTGTACACTGTACCTAGTTCCAGACCTCTGCCACCTCAAGGGAACACGTCGATTTGTCTCTGTGTCAAGGTTATTTACGTGCAAGTCGATGTAAACACGGATGTGTTTGGGCTTTTTGTCCCATCTAAACATCTAAGCACACGTTCCTTGTCAGCTCAGCTGGCGCTACCACTGACAGTAGAAGGGTGGGCGATGTAAAATCACACGGGTCTTTCAAGATTTAAACCAGGGCCATTTTGTTTTCGAGAGTCCAGTACCCTTACAACTCACCATCCCTACGGACCTTTTGTCGTCATTGGAAACCATGCTCAATACGAAATCAATGAGGACCTGGACCTTAAACTATTTAGGACTTCACCCGATCGTGCATATGTAAGTTCTGATAAACTTACCTGCCTGTCAGTTATAGCTTGTCGTATGACAAATGATGCAGTTCTTGTCTAGCCGTATTTCCGTTGACTTTCATCTGACTTTCAACATTTTTACATGTTAACATTTCTACTTCTTAACCTAAATTTGAATTTAAAAAAAACACCTATTTGTTTGAGGTTACAATGAATTTTATGATGATTAATGATCTACTGTAGACCCAGCCCAAATACGTTTAAGACCATTACAAAATTGTCTATTGAAAGACATCCACTTTTATTGAAAATTAAGATGCATAACTTAACGAGGTAAAATGACAGCAGGATAATAAAGTATTTCATTATTTAAATCAAACATAACCACAGGGTGTCACAAGACCTATAAATGAAAGTTTGATAATATCCCGAAGTCGATGTTAGCACATACATGTGTGATCTAAATCAGTAGAAACTAATGTAAACTTCAAATCAGAATGGGCGGTTACGTTTGCAACAGGCATTTAGTTAAAGGGGAAATGTGTAAGATTTAGGTAAAGAGCTGGCCATTCTCGCTATAATATTTAAAAATAGATAATGCAAAATGAATATATTGACAATTCCATTCAAATTACTTTATTTTAAGCAAAGTTATCAATGGTTTAGCTTTGACAAGATGTGTGCATGGATCGTAACTAAAATGGTCATTCGAGTCTTGGTCTCACTTCTCCATTTTAAATTAAATTTAATCTACTTAAAATCGGAAGCATCCGGTGGCATTAGTAGTTGGTTATGGTCTTGTCATATTAATAAATGTCTAATTAATAATTTTTATAACATCTTAGGCCCAACGAAAGACCCACAATAGGCAGATTTAGCTCTTACATTATGCCTGTTTAAATGTTATGTGTGGTCCTCCTGCAGGTACTATTACTCTATTATGAGTGTAATAACCGTTGGTCTTGTTTGCTTTTTAGTAAAAGTACTTTTGTTGTGTATATATTTTGACTATGAATCTAGCTGCCGGAACTAGTCGGTTTAATGAGACAAACGTGTTATTAATAATATTGTTCTGAACATTGCTGATACAAATGTATGTCTAATTGAGCCTTAAGTTACCACCTTCTCCTTTAGTCTTAAAAATCCCATCGGCTGTTGTTCTGGGGGAGAAATGTATAGCAAGCCATTGTCGAATAATTCTGATATACATTTCCACAGGGCGAAGCTACAAACGGATGGGCAATCCCAAGAGGGACACTCAACATTTTGAAAGACTAAAATAGCGCTACAGTGTTAAAATCATCATGTGGACATATTTCAACCTTGATAATAAACGGTTTTTGTTTCATCAACAAACATCTTCCATCCATTCATATGGGGTGGGGTGGGGCTGAATTATAGTATAAGACATTTTGTAATGTTGAAAATTTATGATGAATAATTGTATTTCATGACCCATCGGTGTTTGACAAGAAGTCAACAAGAAACATTCGGCGTTCTTTGAAGGTGGTATAAATAATCCAGTGGCACCTATAAGTGTTGGATAAAATCTTTGATGATTTTATTTTTAAAAAAAAATGATTAATTTCAATACTTTTTAGCGTGGATTTAGTGGTGACAAATTAGATACTGGTCGGAAAAGTCGTGATCGTCAACTTTAAATATCGGAATTAGCTCACACAATCAGTTGATAACAAAGTAAAAAAATAAATAAGTATGATAGTGGGTAACTGATAAAATATAAAACTTTAATACACATCAATATGTAGCACAGTATAAACGGGTTTGGAAGATATTTTATTGACTAACAGTTTTAACTGATCTATGGCTGGTTTTGAAACATGAACAAAGCCTGTGGAATACAATTATTGTTTATTACTGGGCGATGTTTCGACGAATAACCATGTATTCTGTGTATTTTAGTTCATTTACGCAATGAAGTCAATGCAAATGAAACAATTTATCACTGCTGATCATTTACTAAGAAATTATGTGTTACTTTTAAGGATTGTTTTATGAAACTAATAACTAGGTCTAGGTTTAACTACTTGGTACACCGCTGACTAATGAAGGGGTCCCTGACTCTATGAAGTTAGAATACCCATAACTATGCTGTTAACAAGATTTTGCATGTCAGGCCTTACATTTTGACAGCCAAACAACAGTCAACCATTGACTTTGCAATACAAAACCACCCCAGCTCGAAATGTCATTTATATTGCCCTAACCATAGGCTTAACTACGTAAATTGACTGTAATCATTATTGTAGGAGGTTTTATTTGGTGAATTGTACCATTTTTACTAGCCTGGTGTGTTGTAGGGTGTGTGTGTGTGTGTGTGTGTGTGTGTTGGGGGGGGGGGTGTAGACCTCTTGCGGTGGCTCCAGTATAATCTGAAAATTACAATAGATGATCAAAATAGTAACGTCGTGATTCAGTGATAGATATGAACAGGTATCTAAGTGAAATACTTATATACAATAAATATATCAACTGTCAATAAAAGTATACAGTTATTATTATTTATATAGTACCACACTCCACACCTTCTTATGTCTTACTTACAAGCCTTTAAGTAGTTTAGAGAGACTAGACATATTACCAAGTACTGTAGGTGACTAAGCACAGTAAATGTCTAGTCTAAGGCTTTGAGACTAACATGTGGTCAATTTATACATACTCCATGCAGTGGGCTATGAACGGAAATGTTGTCAGGATAGCGGCGCTACGGCCTACTCTTATTTCGAAATCCAACTGTCAATAGATCTTTACGTGCACACTAATGTGTACACGGTACTTATACAACTACAGTTCGACATAGATATATCTTATACAGATATCTAAACGAAATGAATAATGCTTAACACATCATTAGTGCTATTTTTGTGTTATATTGAGACTAAAAAATAGTCAAAGTATTTGTTGTTCAGCTGAAAGAATAGGGACGGGTGCATAACCCATAATTTGTAACTAACCTACACCGTTCAATATTATAGAGTTACCATAGTTTTTCGAATGTATCGACGTAATAAATAAATATGAAACCATTGATACAATTGAATTTTATATTTTACCTTAGTTTGATAAAAATGAAAATTTCCATCCCGGGGGGGGGGGGGCGTATATTAAATTAGGGCATTTAATTCCGTTTAAGGATAATCACATTGTTCACTTAAATGATGGGACCCATGAGGGCATTTAATTCCGTTTAAGGATAAACGCATTGTTCGCTTAAATGATGGGACCCACGGTGGCTCCCGTGTTCGATTCCTGCGTTGGCCTAGAATGATCATCGGGATTTTCTGGTGTGCTTCACCCTTATCAGTGGCGCAGGGCTGATGGTCTGGCAAGGGATAGGGTTATCGTCCCGTGAACACATTGCCGTACGCGTAAAGATCACTTGGCAGATGGAATTCGATATAAAAGTGCCACTGTCGGGGCAAAATTTCCTTCATAGCACACTGCATGTATGTCATACAGTCGCAGCAGAAAAGTAGCACGTTAAACTTCATATTATTTATAAGAGCGCCGTCTTACATTTTTTCGCACAGTTTCGATTTGTTTTTTACTTCTAATAATATGTGGGGTTGTTTAATTATATTTTAAGTGTAATTAAACGAATTATATAATACACCAACTTCTTCTATTATTGGGTTAATTAAGAGCTTTGAGTAGTTTTTCCAGGATTAGAAACAACCAATATTATTTTGGTGGTTTTATTGACAACTCAAGTACGCAATTATTAATTTAATCAAGTCGCGTTAAATTTAATTGAGTTCATAATTTAACCAATCAAAAGACAGAGTCTGGCTTATATTTTGACTACAATATTATTACTTAGTATATTAGTACACAAACGGGAGGATTTTAGGCTACGATATCACCCCTGGTGGAAGTGGACGTTAAACTCCAGAAACGAACGAACGAAAAGATTTCAGGCCCAACGAAGGATCCAACGAACTTTTGTTTGCATTATCACCATCGGTGGAAGCGGCCGTAAAAGTTACAAAGAACGAATGGATTATCTGTGCGGAAATACACGACAAACCACAATTTATGTAGTAGCAGGTCCATCATCGTCGTCCAATCGGTGTTTCTAAGACTTATGATTTAGTTTGTACGAATTTTAGTATTTGTCAACCCTTCATATTAAAAACGATAAAAACGAATAGTTTTAGTGGCTTAGTTTTTAAGTTCACAAGTAATTGATGTTTTGTGGAGAAATAGATGCATGTTTAAATTAATATGCGATTCCACTCTTTATCCCATGCAATCGTGCAATTTGCATAGATGACCGAGTCGTGATCTGCGGCCTAGTAGCTTTGTTACTCATTTTGACCATTTTATTGTATTGTTCAGTGTTAGGATTGTACTATCTATTACATCATGACTGATCTGTGTGTAGGCCTACCTAAATTACGTATATCTATGGCCGTCTTCTTATTTCTTTCAGGTGATTGTACTTTACTAAGAGATTCGATCAAAAACTGTAGTCGTTAACGACTCTGCATTGATTCTCAAAATGGATTCTAATTTTACGATGGAACATCCAGTCAGAGATACCGGTCCTAGTCGTGTGATGGACGATATCGACATTGACAGTAGTGGTAAGTTGTGTGTATTGTATGTTTTTTTCATATATTATGTGATCTTTAATTGGCTAATATTGTCTGTCTCAAGTTCAAATACTGTTGCCGTGTGAAAACAAAAATAATGTAGCGAACTTGAGCTTCCTAAGTTGCCTTATGTTAAGCCCAATTCAGTTTATTTAATACAATATTGTATAAACCAAGACTAAATACAGTTGCTGTAAACTTCTTCAACGGTAACTTCATTCAGATCATTCGCAATGCCACGGGTGACAAGTATAGTTCCGAAACTGTCATTTGACATCGAATTCAAATTTATCTATCGCTAAAGAAAAAAGAACGGAAAAGGAAAAGTATCTGCGATCATGATAAAATGAATGCAATACCCTTCTCATTTTCTAATAATATTGGAGACGTTTCCTTATTTTACAGCACTAGACAGACGAAGCAGTAACGCCTTCATTGGATTACGTCTACCAAGACGACCACGACGTCCCAATAAAAACCGCAAGAAGGACAAATATACGATATCGGATGGAGTTACTCCAGGTGAGACATTAACACTTAATATCTTAAAATAAAATAAGTGCCTATGCAAATAATTCGCCATGTAAATGATAATTTTGCATATACCCCTTTTTCATTTATTGATTTATCTACAAATTATACAGGCGTTTTGATTTTTCATTCCGGTATAATTTATTCTAAATACGTTCGATTAAACGTAACACACTAATAACAACTCCCTAAATTTATTAATTGCACAAAACGTGGTAAAATTATCAGTTATCAATACATAAAAAAAAACATTGTATCGGTACCCAATCCTGATATTCACTCAAATATACGCGAAAAGTTTTATTAAATGTACTCGTTGATTTTTATCGTAATATAAACAGCGTATTTAATGTCAGATATTGATATTTATCGAAGTACATGTATAAACACCGTATTTATGATAGATGTGGATAGTTATCGATATGTAGATATCGTGTAGATAGATATTAGTTGTTGGTATCGAAATATAAACACCATATTTATGATAGATGTAGATATTTGTCGAAAAAAAAACAAAACAACATATCGTATTAATGTTCATAGTTATGGAAATATAAACTTCATATTTACGTCAGATAGTTATCGAAATATAAACTCCATATTTATGTCACTTATCGAAATATAAACTTCATATTTATATCAGTTATCGAAATATAAACTTTATATTTATGTCAGATATTGATATATATCTTAGTGGTGACTTTTTATAATTCGTAAAAGCTTGAATTCACTGTCTTAATACATTTTGCGTCCTTGGATCGCATGCATTAATAAGCAATGGCAAGTTAGCTAAAACAGCATGAAATGACAAGAAAGAACCTTGTCCTCCTTAACGCACATTCAAAAGGTCATGTGATGCTTTGCTTCTGGGATAAACTGCACAAATGCCCCGAAGAAACCAACGGTCAATAGCGCCGATGATATTTTCCTTATTATATTCATATGTGACACAATGACATATTAAGAGGTATCCATACAACCATGAAGATATTTTCTTACTTTTACAAATTTTCAGCATCCACAGAGCCGATGTTTAGTAAGTAATTTTGGTGAAAGGTTTTGTAATGTAGTATAAATCTGGGTACATTGTATTTGTAGTAAACGTATAATTTTAAATGGACAACGATAGTGAGGACACATGCTTTGATGTGAACGACGTCATCTTTGTACATGTGTTCAAGCTACCATTAGTAGCCCTAGAAAGATTTTATATGTTTTAGTTAGCTAACTGATTTAAACAAGTGACTTTGGGTCTTGCCATCACTGTCAAAACAATACTTAGTCTCTACGAAGTCTATCTTCACATGTAAATGCGAGTCAAGATTTAGCAAGGTCACTCTTACTGTTGTTGTGTTAAATTGTCGTTATAGAGTATCTGTTTGTTATGTACTAGTATTTGTTTATGTGGTATTTGTTAAGGTGAAAAGGTGTTGGTAGATTGATGGTGAACGTGGTGATATTTCAGAATATTTATGTACTTACATTATGTATTATTTCTCTGATATCCCTGACTGTGATAAAACAGTCACAAATTTCATATAATTAATAGATATAAAGTTTCCAACGATGTTCTTTGAAAAGTTCCTAAATATTTAGACGTTACATTTAGAAAACAGCTACTGTTTTGGTTTATCTCTGCTATCTTTAAACAATATATATCTGTTGCGGTGTATTTACGTATCTAAATGACTTATAGTTATTATGGTATGCAACAGGCGTAATGGATCTGAATATATATTTCCAAAGCTAATTTCTGACATGTTCCTTATTTTCCAGCATCGTTAACTCCCAGTGAACAGATTCAGCATCTACTCGGTGACAATGATGACGATACTCATTATCCAGATATATTCTGTCAGATGGATGTACTGTATAAACTAGCTGATGCTATGCAATGGAAGGAAACAGCCAGGTAACCTTTTTCAAATGTTTTACAACATACATTCCATTGCCCTGAGGTGTTTTTGGCATTCTAAACTATATTTTGGGATGCTGGGACTCCTCCGAGAGTTTTAGATCCAGTTACCATATCACTAGCCACAGAAATACCGAGGCATTGTTACCATTTAAGTTGGCTAGAGGTTTCATTGCACAATGGTTAAGGAATCAAAAATGAAATGGGGTTTAACGTCCTACTAGTCTGCCTTATCTGGCCGGGCTAATGAAGACGGGCATTCGCCATATAGTCTCATCGGGGACATTTTGCCTCTACAGCCGCGGTGCTATGAACTACTTTTTTCTATCGAATTCCAACTGTCAATGGATCTTGTACGTACACGCCAATGTGTGCACTGAACCTCGGTTTTTAGTACCATCCGGGTGTATATGTTGCCACTGACAAGGTCCTCAGTCCTGACAATGGGAAACCAGTCCACATAGTTTGTTATATAATATGTATACACTTTTATTTTTTAGATGGGTTAAATATGAAGAAGATGTTGAAGAAGGGGGATCAAGATGGTCCAAACCTCATGTAGCCTCTCTATCTCTACATTCACTGTTTGAATTAAGAAGTAGTTTATTATCTGGAGCTGTCATGTTATCTGTTGATGCATACCATATCACTCAAGTCGCAGGTAAAAATTATACATTATAGAAAAAAGGAATTTAAAAACAGTTTATGTACGTAATATGGGAACACGATGGGAACATAATAGGAAAGAAATATATGAGATTCGAAAGTTTGGATCCCAGCAGGGATGAAAAAATATATTGATTGACAACAATTTGGTGCGTACTCAGGAAATATTACATTCTAAACAATATAGTGGCTCGGATGGTGAAATGTCGTCCCGAGTATGTGGTTGATAGAATTTGTGGATAAAGAAAGGTTCAGTATTAGTTATTATTTCAGATTCTGACTTAAAACTGATCGTAATGCAACTTTTTTCTTACATAAGCATTACTGTAATTAGTTTTGGTAAATTAATTAATGTACATCAGCAATTGCACTAATTTCATGTTTTACAACTTTATTTTTGTTTAGACCTGTTGATGGATAATCTCATCAATGCCAAATTATTAGAGGAAGGCATGCGAGACCAAGTTAAAGCAGCATTCTTAGCACCCCATAGCTTTCAACATTCTAAGCGCGGAGGACGGCGTTCCTCTGTTGATCCTGAGAGTATGAATTTGGGAAGACGTCTATCCAGGGCTCTGATTGGTCAAATGAATGTTAAAGGGCGAGGTAAAAAAAAGGCAATATTTTTTCAAATGACAAATGTCTGTGTTGTAAATACATTGCGAATAATTTTATACTGGGGAAAATTACTTTTTAAGTAGGTCTTTCTGAAGAATTATTAAAAAGACGCTAAATTAATGTTAAATTGGGTTCGGTGGATTGCTGATTCAGAAACAAATCTATTAAAATATGATTTATTAGAAATTATGTGTTGCGGGGTGTAAATCTGTTTTTTTAAAAATGTTACGCCTCCATATGAAAGCAGTTTTCATATACTGTATATATACATGTATACTAATGTCCAAAAGAAAGTATACACACTAAAGATATGACTAAGTTTTGTTTAAATCAACAAAATGTGATAAAACTACACTGAACATCTCTCGTGCGTCCAAACTCAATATTTCTTAGTAAAAAAAATAGCAAAACAAATGGACATTGTACCAAAATACCGCATACAATGGAAATACGACTTTGTTTGAAGCAGGACGAAATGCACAGTGTATACTTTCTTTTGGACATTAGTAGTTAATGTCGGGTGCCTCTGCAGGCAAAATGTATACTGAAATCAGTTAACAAGATGCCCACCGCTTAATATAAAGGGTTTATCTCCATTAATTGTTGTTTCGTTTTTTGGGGTTTTTTTTTGGCTAGCTATAAATATTTATTAAATGAATGCAACCCGATTCAATTGACGTGATTATTAACTTTGTAGAGTCCAGTAAAAGTATATCAAAAGGAAACCCAGCAAGCAGCCCAAATATGCTTGAAAATGGAGATCTTCCGGAATCACCATCATCTACCAAGGTAATCTTCGATATTATTTATTAATAACCGCAATATTCCCCATCGGCGGGCACTTTTCGCATCTTAAAATTGTACCCATTACAAATTATTGTCAAGACCTTTACCAATTTCAGACAAACATGCAGTTTGCTTTATTCGCTATTGTTATGTGTGCAGTAAGGGGTGCGATTTTGGCCCAAACTGAATGAAGTGTGGCTTTCTAGTGGTGAACTCCGAGTACTAAGGCACTGTTGTTAGTAAGAATTGATGGGATTTGCTTGCTCCCCCGGATTGATAATATTACATATTATTACATAATTATATAATTTTTCAGTTAAATCAACAGTTTATGAGAAAAATCCCTGACGGATCTGAAGCAGCTAATATCTGGATTGGTGAACTGGATGGTCTGAAGTATCAAGTGACAGCCTTAATACGACTATCAGAGTCTCGAACAATAGGTGATCTAACCGAAGTGCCTTTACCCACACGTTATATTTTCTTCTTGCTCGGGCCACCTGGAAGTCAAACTAAAAATTATGAAATCGGTAGATCTATGTCAACCATCATGGTAGATGAGGTAAGTGTTATTTTCTGAAAATGAAAAGCTAAAATTGTTGTTTTAAAAAAGTATCGTGCTTAACGAAGATAGGGTAGGAGTGGGAGGAAACTAGAGATTTTACGCCCCCACACCCCAAAAAAAAACCCAACAAAAAGCAAAAAACTCAAAAACTTTGTATTTTATTGTGTGTTCCTCTTGATGTGTCAGTGGTGTAAGATGGAATACCCGTGCATGTAAAAGATAAGTTGGAGTTCGAAATAAGAGTCTAGCGCGGTCGCACTTTAACTTTCAGCGGAAAGTATTTAAATATTTGACCGACGTCCCCCAACCCCACCCCTCCATAACCCATTCTTAAATTTCACATTCACTGTTTGTATGGTCCTGGTTTATAGGTATTTAGAGAAGTAGTATACAAGGCCAAGACTCGACATGATGTATTGGCTGGTGTGGATGAATTTTTAGATCAGGTAACAGCTCTTCCACCCGGAGAATGGGATCCTAAAATCAGAATTGAACCTCCTCAAAGTGTTCCATCACAGGTGAGTAATTGAAAAGTTTAACTTCACAATATGTATGCCTCTGGTTTGAATTGGTACCATTTATCACAGTTGGAATGTTAATTATATCGAGAGTACATTTAATCAAGGCTACTGAAATTATTGGTCGTGTACTTTTTTACCGAAAGCTACAAATTTTGCGAAAGTACATGTATATACTAACATGGAAAATGCGAATATGCCATTTTTTTTACACGGCTGGGCTCTTGTTAATTTTCGAGTAGTTGTCGTCAACAGTAAATCAAACGGATTAATATAAGCTTTAAGAATTGTTTTCGAATCCATATAATTTATTATGTATTGTGTGTAATTGTGTGATCAATACTGTTTAAATACAATAAGCCAAATGCTACTTCCTTTGTAGTACGTCACTTCCTTTGTAGTACGTTACTTCCTTTGTAGTACGTCTTTTTGGTTCTGGAGTTAATGCCATGTTATAATGCGATCACTGTTTTTTAGAATCATACGGGCGGCATGGCTTATGCGATTTATTTATGGTTTATACATTTGTTTTAGGGAACACGGAAGATTAAACCAGCTGATATTATTGAAGTTGAAGAAGAAGAATCTCACTGTGACCCTACCCTCGTAAGAAGTGGAAGGTGCGTTACAATTCTAACCCAGTCAGATCTGGAAAGCGTCGACTACAACTTTTGTAGCGACCCATAGTCTACATTCAAATATTAGCCTACTTTAACTCGGACAGTACACTTAATTTTCCTGATTTCAATGATAACAATACAATATTATTGCTTCCGATCTTGAATTTTAAGTTTTCACATTTTAGAATATTTGGTGGACTAATCGCTGATGTAAAAAGAAAGTTGCCGTGGTATGGAAGTGATTTTAAAGATTGTCTTCACATCCAGTGTGTAGCGTCTGTTATATATTTATATTTGGCTACTCTCACACCTAATGTTACATTTGGTGGTTTACTTGGTCAAGCAACTGACCAATACATGGTAAGTGACCAGTGGACCATAATCCATCCGAAAATTCAATTAAATATCTGCATATCCATTTTCATTTCCAGCTTTTGTTTCATTTGACGTTGATTTAACCAATATTTGAAAATCCAAGCGATGTAACATAATGGAAAAAATAATTTCAAACAGTTTTTCTAGTGTGGTGAAGTATATTTCGTGTTTTCAATAACTTAATACCGTGTTTCCTATAACGTTTCGACTTTTTCTTGTAATAGGGAACAATGGAATGTATCTTAACAGCAGCTATCGTTGGTGTTTTATTTGCATTGTTTGCTGGCCAACCACTGAATATATTGGGTAGTACAGGTCCTATGTTGGTGTTAGAGATGATTTTGTATAATTTTTGCAAGTAAGTATTGCCGTTGGGTATTTATACAATAAATATACAAAACGGGTCCATTGGTGAACGGATGGGCTTGGTAATCTATAGAATGGATCACCCGTCTCAGACTGATCTGGCTTCTTGGTTAAGTCGCTTAAACATCGGCTATATCAAAACAGAAAATTAAATAAACAATGGAATGATTCTTTAGTGCAATACTTAGTTTTTATCTTTCTTTGTTTTCCTCTTTGGTATATTTGGGGAATGGTATCCCAAATTTGTAATGGCCCAGGCCTGTTATACACCAAGATTGTTTAGCCTTTCACCTGAACAAAACTTGATTACACATTTAATATCATACTGTAATTGCATACTGAAAACGTTTCATATCTACATAACATTATCTTTAAAAAGCATGTTGGGCTTCTCTAATGCAATTTCAAAACTATAACACAATTTAGTAGTGCAAATTGCTGTGTAAAACACGGTAAGACTTCACCTAGACATGGATGTGATTCCATAGATATCAATTAATCTATAGTTGAGATATGCTTACTCTTTTTAATCATCTGATACCACGTACTTTTCTATTATGTTTCACATTAATTATTTCTGTTAATTAACGAATCATTTTTTATATTTCAGTGACCATCATCTGGATTTCTTACCTTTTCGATGTTGGATCGGAATTTGGACGGCTATCATTTTGCTAATCATTGTAGCCTTTGACTTAAGTGCTTTGGTTCGATATATAACTCGCTTTACCGAAGAAAGTTTTGCTTGTTTGATTGCTGTCATCTTTATCGCTGAAGCTTTCAAGAAGTTAGTGGGTATTCTGACAATTTGTCCAGTCAACACAGATCCCGATCAGATCCTTAACTACCAGTGCGAATGTCTGGCACCAAACGTTACAAACTTCAACGAAACAGATTCCCATGACTTAGTTATGCCAGTGTTGAACTCCACCATGTCGTCAATGACCCAGTTTGTTAGTTATACCATAGAAGGCTTCAACAACACCTTAAATTCGACGCTTCACAATGACAGTTCAGTCAACTGGACATCACTAACCAAAGAAGAATGTACAAAGCAGAATGGTACACTGGTTGGGCCTGGTTGCGACACACCTGTCTATATAGCCGATGCCTTCTTCCTCTCCGTCTTGCTCTTCCTTGGAACCTTTGTTATAGCCAGTGCTTTGACAAATGCTAAAAACAGTTCCTTCTTCCCTTCATATGTGAGTAGTTTAAATAAAGCTGATATAATAGATTGCCTAATGCCACAATTTTAAATAACATTGATATAACACACTGACATGACAAATACTAGGACTGCCCGGGCGTCACAAACTTTATTTAGTCACCTTCTGCGCACTGCACCCGTGGTTATTTATTTTAAAAATAAACCAATAATTCTAGGTTGCGTTGTGGTTAATGATAGGTTCCCACAATCACGATTGTTTTAATCGTGGAGTAATCGTCGTGATCCTATCAGGTCTTATCATATACATTGTATTGAGGTCAGTGTTGATCGTATCGAAACGTATCTGAACGTATCTGCACGTACAAGGTCGCTGACACAATGGGGTCAATCCTATCGTAACGCATCGCCCGACAGTTGGAACCTAGCATTATTGATGGTAACAGAGTTGTCTTTTGAAAATATGTTTGTCTGAATCCATGATTCTTGGCATGCTTGTTGATGATGCATCCACTTTTAATTTGACGTCACAATTCAAACTGGCCGTGATGATGTTATGCTTGGTTACTAGTCTATATTACCCTGGTACTTGTTTCCGGTTGACTGAATTAGATTGTAATGATATTTTAAAGTAAGATAGAAGATATAATACTTTAGAGAATGCTAACTTCCTTCCACTAACTCGTCTAAATAACTTGGGTCTTATTACAGGTCAGACAAACAATGTCGGATTTTGCTGTTCTTATTGCCATTCTGTGCATGGTGGGCTTAGACGCTGCTGTTGGAATACCTACACCAAAACTGGAAGTGCCCCTTGAATTCAAGGTAAGTAGCACTGATCTCGATAATAGCCATTATCCAGTCGTTACGAGTCCCAAAATTCAATTTACCTTAAAATTTAGAATAATTGAAAAAAGTATTTCACAGGTACGTGAAAGCGTTTGTATATCAACTTCACCCTGTGCTTCAATGATCACCAGACATGTGTCCTGTTAGTTTCAAAATTACCAGAATACGAGAACAAAAAATCAATTAATTGTTCTCTTTATCCTTTACAGCCAACACGTCCAGGTAGACCTTGGTTTATTAACCCTATGAGCGACAAGAATCCCTGGTATTTAATCCTTGCTGCTATTGTACCTGCTCTTTTAGCTACCATCTTGATCTTCATGGATCAACAGATTACAGCCGTCATTGTCAACAGAAAGGAAAATAAACTTAAGGTATGTGGAAATGATGTTGTTAGTTTGCGATTATTTAGAGATTGTACAAATGGTTATTTCCCTTTGCAGTGACAGAATTGGGTCATCAGTGTTAAGCAACTATCTGTTTATAGTGGTTGATATCGTTCTTGCCATTTAATAAACATCAGCTACCGGATGTTTTACAATTTGAAAATGATTCGCTTTCTTATTGCCAATTCGTCCTTAAGATTTTGATCCTGATAACTGCTGGTTATGATCGACATTCAGCCACCACAACTACGCTTGTAGTTATCCTGATTCTAATCCGTTAGTATTTAGCAACCGAATAGATCAAGAAACCATAGCATAAACTTATAATAGAAAACAGCTACCAATGAATTTAGGCGACGTTTCGAAGAGTATTATCTTAACGTATGCGTTACAGTTCATTAAGCTATCGAGTTATCAAATGCCACTAAACGATTACTATCGTCATCGGTATGAAGATCCCCTTTAATAATTGTGACACCTAAATGTATTTAGTGGCCGTTTTTCATAAGTATGTGTTATAGTTTATTATCCTGGCGTTAATTATGACTCAAATTGGTTTAATTCTATGTACTTACAGAAAGGAAGTGGATATCATTTAGACATGTTTGTTGTGGCTATTTGTATTGTTATCTGTTCACTTCTGGGATTACCGTGGTACGTGGCCGCTACTGTATCAGCTTTAGCTCATGTGATGAGTTTAAAGAAAGAATCAGAATGTACGGCTCCTGGTGAACGACCGACTTTCCTTGGTGTCAGGTAAATATACCCCCCGCCCCTGTGAAAAATCATTCCTTTGAAATGCTCTTCTTTTGAAAAAGCCCTTGTTGTTTTTGAATGAATATATCCTTACTGTATGGCAAAAGAAAAATATTATAAAATCTGAAGGAACATAATCTTAAATTTGTAGTACGCCTTTTTTATGGGAAGTATGTCTCTGTTCTTTAGTACCTTAATATAGACGAAAATTTGTCTAAAAGCACATAATATTATTAATTAGTATGAATGTATATTTGTTTTATTATGATTTTAAATCATTTATGTTTGGTGAAATACATGAACAGTCGTTTACGCCTGCTTAGTCTTTAATTTCAAATATTATGGAGGTAGAGATCGCAAGTCATAGAAACCATTTCCCTATGATATATAAACAGGCAGATAAATACCAGGGCGTTTTCTGGTATAGACTATTAATCTGGCATTAGCATGTCCAATACACTTGGCGCGCTTTTGCTTCATAAATCTACTCTATATCTGGAAATTGCTGGGTCATTGGTACGCCATTTCGTTTCCCAACCTATTCATCTACGCTTTCTTTTTACATCTGCTATGGTGGTATGTATCTCCTTTCGGATTTGTAATCACATCCAAGAAAGTTTGTTCCATTGTCTGTTGTTTTTATATATTATAATACTCGTTACTTTTTCCACAGAGAACAAAGAGTAACAGCTTTACTGGTTGGTATACTCAGCGGTCTTTCAGTTCTGTTTACCGGTGTCCTTAAGGTAAGTCTTAAAATTGTTCAGTTTATGCAAGTCTTAAAATTGTTCAGTGTATGCCCTCTTTTTGTATGATTGCAAAGTACAAATCTCATAAATTGGTCCCAAATAAATTGTACATGAATAGTACGTACAGCAGAACCACCCAGCGCATTAACAAACAAAAACCCAGAAGAGAAAAAGTAATTAGTAATTCAAATTAAGTGAATCGATCCGCGATTTAATGTAATTTAATGTAACGGACATGTTCAGTTTCTTAGGCCTAAATCGTCCTATATATACGACCACTTCTTGAACCGAACCACATTTTTGTGCCCTTGTTTTTCAGTTTATTCCTATGGCTGTATTATACGGTGTGTTTTTATATATGGGTGTAGCTGCTCTGAAAGGCATGCAGGTAAAATATTATATATTTTTGACACCCGTTTTAATACATGTTTATATTTCTTTTTTAATGCAGTTAACTTTTCAATATCCAGTTATATTTAGATTGGATGTAATAATTAGACTTATTCTTACTCATAAACAATTCACATAGCTAAAGAATTTCGTTTTACTTTTGTATGTCATAAAGTGCAATAAAACTGCCCACTTTCCTTCACCGAAGACGAGCATATGCCATACAGTTCGCTATGGGAGAAAATTAGTCAGGACAGCTGTGCTACGGCCTACTCTTATTTCGAATTCCAACTTTTGGAAGTTATTTTACGTGCACACCTCGTGTTACTGTCAAGCACTTCCTGTATATTGATGTGCCATAGATAACAAATGTTTAGCCCCAACCCCAACCCATCTGTTGTTGTAATATTATATTCAAGGGTTCTTTTGTATTTCAGTTTATTGATCGATTATTGTTGGTATTAATGCCAGCTAAATACCAACCTGACCACGCCTATGTTCGTCATGTACCTATACGAAAAATTCATCTATTTACCTTCATTCAAGTCGTCTGTTTAGCTGTATTATGGGTCATCAAATCATTCAAATCAGTATCTATAATTTTCCCCATTCTGGTACGTATTTTGGCATTGTAATCATTAAACTCATGTGTCGTTTTATTTTGTATAGTTTAAAGGGGGGTTGGATGGCTGAATGGTTAGCACGTTCGCGCTTTATCATAAAGTCTGTCATTGAGTCAACATTAAGCTGCCTTCTATTTGATTAGCCAAATCCATGATTTGCATGCGGGAGTTTGGGAAATAGTTTTGAGCGATCTGGATAGAACGAACTGATCCGCAGTGGATCTCACTTTATCGATACTATCGCTGGAATGCGCGAGGGGAGAGAAGGTTCTGCAATGAAACCAATGTTTGATAAGAAGTTGTCTAAAATATCTTTCCAACTAATGGGCATTATGCCTGCTTGCAATGTACACGCATGCCATTAAGATATGACACGCTACAAGCGCAGATCGGTGTGTGTGTGTGTGTGTGACAGTGTCAGAAGCCATCAAAAGGTATAAAACGCGAAACAAATTTAGGATTTTCTAATATAAAGTAAAATCTACAACGACGTTTGAATGAAAGTCGTGTTCTACATTGACAATCCTTATTTTAAAGTAATGATGACTTGGTTACGCATATTCCAGTTTGTATTTGGGTTTCTGTTAGGTACTAAGCATTATATCTATTGAATGCACATTTCAAGGTTCGAAAATTATGTAGGTGTCTCTTTATTTTACAGGTATTGGGCACGTGCTTTGTGCGTAAAGCATTGGACTATGTCTTCCCTAGTCAAGAGTTAAAATGGTTAGATGATTTGATGCCCGATGCCGCTAAGAAAGCGAAAGAGGACGCTTTACACGAGAACGAGGAAGAGGTAATTATTGAATGAGGTTTTGTGTTCAGTACCTTCATTATTATTCCGAGCTCGAGACAGAGTGTGCTTACATTTTCCGTATAGAATATTTAGCACAACATTTCTTTTCATCACATGCAGGACGGAGGGCATGACAAGGGCAGCTGTCTAGTCCTTCGGATGAGACGAAAAACCGAGGTCCCGTGTATATATTGGAATGCACGTAAAAGATCCCTTGGTAGTTGGAATTCGATAGAAGAGTAGGCGATAGTGCCGCTGCCCGGGCAAAATTTCCCTCATAGCACACTGTATGGCGTATGCCCGTCTTCATTAGCCCAGTATAGGAGCAGAACAGTAGGACGTTAAACCCCATTTCATTTCATTCCCTTTCATTTCATTTCTATTCATCACCAATTTGCAGGGCCGTAACTAGCTCAGAGCAACGAGGGGCGGGATGTGTTCTCAGGCGTGCTGTAAAATTGACGGACAATGTATATCTATTGTTTTTATGGTCGACATTTTTCTCACGGGGGCTGCACCCCCCCACCCCTAGTTATGGGCCTGCCAATTTGTCCACTGAGATAACATGGCGAATTTGCAAATTTCCGTCTGCAAGAGAAAGCCACGTCGGAAACTTTCTCGGTCAACACCGTGGGTAAACCCGAGACGATGTTTGCCTAGAAAATGTTACCATTCGCCATTTGATTGATGACGAATTTAAATCTCTTCTTTCAGGCAGAGAGCTTGATGGACGGATATGACAAGATGGCTGCCATAAAATTACAACAAGAGAAATTAGGAGAAAAGTTTGCTCCTCATATGATACGTAGGGCTTCAGTCGACACAGAAAGAGTGAATATTAGTGAAGAAATGTCAAAAACATCAATCTGGTTAAAACTGAAACAAGATAGCGAAGACAGGTATTAACATTACACATATCTTCCAGTTCCCACCTTTTTGCTGAAGTCCATATTATAGGGTCATTTGGCCATAAATTGCAACGGGTATGTGTACACGGTAGAGTCTGCGTACTACTAGAAACTGATTACACCTTAGGTTACTTTTCTACCATTATTATAGCTTCCACATGCACGAGTTATGGACGAATAACTGTTTTAAATTGAATCCGGTCATTAGAGCTGCTATTCTTAAAGTTGTTTTGACTGATTTTAATTCTTAACAATGTATCAAAATTTAGTTGAGACATGCTTAAATGTGAGGGGACTGTCTTATGCTTATGAAACTTGATTGATTAATTGCACTGAAGCCACACCACGACAGATGCTTCATGTGCACTATTTTAAGGTAAAAGCTAATTACACCCGAGCTTTAAAAATCTTTAAGAAGAAAGAAGCCTGTACGAACTAGACCGATCCGCATATTTGGCGTAATATATAGAGAGCGGTTGCTGCAGCCTGAGGGGTCATTAAACACCATTTCATTTCGACTTGCCTGATGTTGATTGTGTATTATAGCATATGTGGTCTTTATTTACGGAAACAATATTTATATTTATTGTTTTGTTTTAGAAATATATATACGGACGATAATAATAAAGAAAATAGAAGAAGCATAATACATGCATTAAGTAAATGATTTGAAATGGTATATATTTCTTCTTTCAGTGGTAAACGAAGACGAAGCGAAAATAATAATAAAGAAAATGGCGCTTCGCCACTAAAGCCTGCGTTTTATGTCGGCGATTAAATATATTTTAAATGTGTAAATATTAAAATCAAATCTACCACCATGTCAATATTAAACGTATTCAATTATGTTTTTTTTAAATATTATAAGCCTTCTGCGTTACAAGGTGGGTGGAGTGGACTACAGACTTTCTCAAATTTTTTAAGAAAGTTTAGTTATTTTCATTGAGTTTGTGTTATATATTCATTGATAAAATGAATCTCACGCTGATTTAAGAACAGCTTCCCTTCCCAGCAATCCCCTACTATTAGTCATACATATCGTGATGCTACGTTTTATGTATTCGAGTGGGCAATATGTAACGACCTAAAGCAATAAATGAGCTGCTGGAGAATATATATGCAGGTCTTATTTTATCTTAAGGAAAGAAATAATCAAAAAAAGTATGTCAGTTATTTCATTTGTATATAGTAAATATTATTATTATTATTATTATTTCATAATATTTTTGAGTCACATTCCTGTTGTCATAACAATTGTTTTAATCTATGATGTATATTGGTGCTTTTCAAATTCATGTGTATTGGTTTGATGGAGAACTAAAATGCGAAAGGCTATTTTGCATAGTTTTGCTTTTTAAACGTATTCGTAGACATTGGTCGTGATGCACTATATGGACAATATTCAATAAAAATTGTATCCATTATGTATCTCATAATATTTGCAGTTCATTAAAAGGTAGAAGTAAAATTATTCTATGCATTATAGAAAATTTGACATAACAACGCACTGATTAATATTTCTGCATGTGAGCATTGCGTCGAACTAATTATACCGTGCGTCACGGTATATTTGGCAAAACAGTGTTTGTAATTGTGTTTAGAAGACATGACTTTGAATCTGTTCAACACACGACAATGTGTTGTGCATCACGCGGGATATTAGTTTGCATCCTAACCATTCCATTATTATTTTATTGTACAAAATACTAGCATCTATGTATGTAATATTTATGTGAAATAAACATTGTACTTATATGCACATTATAAACGAAACAATAAAAAATAACATATCTGTAGAATAACTGTAATATATAAGGGTGATTTCAACATAATCAAAATCGTTTCATCTAGTCAAACATATTTAGGATCATTATGGATAACGTGCGTAGAAAAAAGTAGAATCAGGTTGTGTGTGAATGGATACGTTTGGTTCAAAACGTTTTCCAGAATGGAGAGCCAGAATACAAGTAATATTTAGAGTGCACGGCCATGCGCTAATCAAAAGGAAAGTTTACCCAAAAGAAAAACACACACAAAAACAAAACCAACAACAATGGCATGCTGCACGCCATGTGGTCAATGGTGAGATTAAAAGATTGAGCCGTTCTAATTAAAATGTTTTATTTGGAAAGTTGTATCCGTGTACAATGTACATAAGTTCTTATTTGTTTAAACAATTTGAAGAAATGAAACTGCCAATATTTCGACCCGTAACCCTGATAAAAATTCTCCAAAATTAAAAAGGATTGGTAATCGACAAAGCTATGGGTCGATGGCGTTCCTTTGTTCAAGTTAAGACAAATATACAAATTTAAATTATAAGTTTTCACAAAACAGTTTGTTCTGCCATGTTAATAATTTGTAAATTAGAGTTGTTTCCCTTAATAACCCATGGGCTGGCGTAAAATCACACATGTTATTAATTCAATGAATTCTGATCATTCATAATTGTATTTATTAAGTTGAAATGAAAAAAAAACCTGAAATGTGCTTGTACCACATTATGCAACTGTATATTTGAATTGGGCTCGGTGTCATCATTATATTATGTTTTATTCAGAATAAATGATACTATACAAATTTTTAATAATTGTATTTTGTTGTATTAAATCTAAATAGAAGACCCCCCCCCCCCCTCCCTCCTACACACACACACACATATACACACAAAAAAACCAACATAATTTTGGTTTTGAGAACTTGCTTCTATCCAAGCACACGTACACGTGTTCTGTTCGCTATATATTTCATAATTTCAGAAGACGCCCACACTCCGTGAAATAATCGTTCAATGTTCCCAAAATGTGAAGTGAGCACCAGGAGTGTACAATCCTTCATTTGGACCTTAAAATCAGGGAGTATTCTAGATTAAGTCTGCTATAGTAAAAAGAAGAACGTCTCTTTCATCCACAGATAAATTTACCAGAATTAACATGTTTTTGCTTTAGATGTGATATGCGTCCTCTTATATATACACGCATAAAAATACCACAAATATGAAGTAGAAAGTTCAGAGTAAGCTGCATCGCCCATGCAATGCGCCCTGTTGATCTACCTTACCTACAGATATCTCCATGATATTTCTCCTGATAGTGGTAATCCATAGCTATACCGTATGTCCCGGACGGGCCAGTTTAATATAAATATATATTGTTGCCTTTGTGCGTCATTCATCTGTGGTAATATAATATCTGGAACATTAGAAATAACAATACACAGATTCCTTAACCACCTCAGACATAGATTATGAGGACACGAATCCATAATCATGGCTTGACATTCTAACGTCACAATACGACCCACCCAAAGAAATAAGAAGTCGTATGCTTTTTTGGAAGAATAGGCATAGTAATGTATGGCAAACAATGTTGATTTACAGTATGACATTGTGACTGGGAATCTGTCATACCAAGTATAAACACAGGTTGTGGCAAAAAAGTGTGAAGGGTTCTTGGGATGAACTAGTGGTTAAGTGTGCCGCGCTTCGACCTCTAGCTGGCCGGTCACCTCTAGCATGCGGTTGTGGTTTCGATCCCTGGTGTGGACGTATGTGGCTTAGATATAGGGGCGCCTTCTCAACCTCGTGGATTTACTCAGGGTACTCCGGTATACCGAAAGTGTGAACAACCGAAGTCTGTTCGTGACAAAAACAAAATACAAATTTCCTTTTGTACGTTCCCACTTCTGCACTTCTCTCTCTCTCTCTCTCTCTCTCTCTCTCTCTCTCTCTTAGCCATTTTGGATTTTCGTTTTCAGTAACCACCTGTTGACATACCACTGAAGTACGAAAAAATCGCCAGGTTGATCGAACATCCTAGGGGAATACAAATCGAGGGAATCAATTATTTACATACCTATATAATTTTAAAGATCAAGACATTGTATTTCTATCGTGATCACTGGTCAAGTTAAATCTGAAAGTTCGCTGGCCAAGCAAACGACCATCACTAGTCCAGTGGGTCCACTTACTAACTTTAATTGGTCGGAATATTTTTTCTCTCGACGGCTTCTTATGGACCAGGATTGTGCGTTTTGAGATATCTAGGTAATTATCCTAATTAGCTAATTAGATGTAGAATATCTTATAAACTATGCACCGTAGATCCTAAAAATGTATTACCAACAGATTAAAAGGTGTACCCAATCGATGATCATCATTGTCCTCAGAAATTTTCAGTAATTCAGACGCTTTGACACTGAACATGCGCGCTGTATCATAAGGTCTGTCCAACCTCGTGGGTTTCTCCGGGTCATCCGCCCCCCCACTGCTGAAGACCCCTACGCGCAAGCGAATTATTGAAATAAAATTAAACCATGTGTTAGTCCCGAAATGACCTAGTTTGTGTCGAGTTGGCGTTAAACTCCATTTCTCTGTCTCTTGTCTCTCTCTCTCCCTATGGAAGACCAAATGGGACAATATTCATGATTCTTGTTTCTACATTCCAGTTTGAACATTTTAGACACGAACGCAACATTCTAAACTAATGATTCTTGTTTCTACATTCTTATGTCAACATTTCATGCACAAAATCAACATTTTAAACAAAAAATTGACTTTATGTTTCATTTTCGGCGTTTTATCGGTAACTTTTAAAAATCATTAAATATTAGAATTAAAAAATAATTTCTTAATTTTACACGACAAAGAAATCAATTCATTGGTTTCTGAAAGTATCTAAACAAAATCTGGAATTTGAACTCTTATGAAAATATTTTTCTACGTTTCAAAAAGTCTTGAAGTTAAAATCTTGAAATGAAAATTTCCAGAAAAATATAATGATTTATCAACATTATTACACCAGACGGCGTTAGCGTATGTGTACAACTTTGATACAAACTATAGATTTATCATCATTAAATATTAGAATTAAAAAATAATTTCTTAATTTTACACGACAAAGAAATCAATTCATTCGTTTCTGAAAGTATCTAAAAAAAATCTGGAAGTCTTGAAGTTAAAATCTTGAAATGAAGGTCTAATTTGCAAACACTGTCCTATAGTTATAGTTAATATGAAAAAGTAAACAAATAACAGTGAATAGATTCCATTTAAAACACAGCATTATCATCCATTTTTGCCATATTCGAAACACGTGTAGGTCTAATTTGTAAACATAAGAAAAAGTAAACAGCGAATATGTAAGAAAGGCCTTTGTCCTAATTTTTCTAGCTGTTTAAATTGTAGAAGTTATTTGTATTGTTATTATATCTCGAGCTTAATTTCTGTTTCATGCAACTAATTACTGTAAACACAACAGGGGCCCACTTCCACTCGTGGAAAAGTCTACTTTTGATTTCTAATCTATAGTCTGTATCAAAGTTGTACACATATGCTAACACCCTTTGGTGTAACAATGTTGATAATTCATTATTTTTTTCTGGAAATTTTCATTTCAAGATTTTAACTTCGAGACTTTTTGAAACGTAGAAAATATTTTCATAAGAGTTCAAATTCCAGATTTTTTTTAGATACTTTTAGAAACCAATGAATAGATTTCTTTGTCGTGTAAAATTAAGAAATTATTTTTTAATTTTAATATTTAATGATATATAAAACTTACCGATAAAACGTCAATTTTTTGTTTAAAATGTTGATTTTGTGCATGAAATGTTGACATAAGAATGTAGAAACAAGAATCATTAGTTTAGAATGTTGCATTCGTGTCTAAAATGTTCAAACTGGACTGTAGAAAAAAGAATCATGAATATTGTCCCATTTGGTCTTCCATATCTCCCTGGACCAGCGAGTCCTTTGTAAGCATAAATTGATTTCAAATAGCAACTTACATGGCTCTCTTTAGGTTCCATCAGTATTGGGGACGAGGTTAATGACTTTCTGAAGAGTGTCGGATGTCCTCTCTAGCACAAACTTTTCAACATTTCTACCGGATAAGAAAATATGTCAAAGTCAAAGATACTAATCCTTGCTCATGTGATGGCATATTTAGTCACGCGTTCGAATCATAAGCGTTAATAAAAACGTGTGATAACAATCAAAAATCGAGCGAAAAAGCAGTGGTTCTATCACTGACCACATGATGACATGCTGACTGGAGATCAACCCCGAAAATGATGACCGATTACTGAACGCTTGCAAACCCAACCCTAACCCGCTTCCACCCACTAACTGGACAAAATCTAGTAAGGTACTCAAAACACAGTACAGTCGAAAAATGGGCCGCGGCAGCCCATTTTTTGTTCAAAAGGTCTATGACGACCTAATGTGCCGGACCAGGGCCAGTTAAGGTACGTTTTTTGAAAGCTTAGGTGCACTTTTATATCTGTTGGTAATACATTTCTAGGCTCTACGGTGCATAGTTTAAGAGATATTCGACTTCTAATAAGATAAATAGCTAATTATCTCAAAACGCACAAACCTTTCGTTGATCCAGTAGGCAGAAACGCATTCTACTGGTCCTGTTCCATATGAAGCCGTCGAGAAAAGAAAAACATTGCTAAATATCCACCGGACTATTATAACATGGTTTGGGTTAACAGAAATAAAAGATGATCTGGATTCAACATTTTATTCTAACATATACAATGGTTTACTAAATATATGAGAAACCCTTCTCTTGTGAGCAACCAAAGCTCGTCTGTCTATATCCCAAAACCTAACTCAATTTATACTAAAATGGTACATTCATTAATGATACTGAACAAAAGAACTTTGAGATTATCTCACGATAATTACATAGCAGATTACAGAACAGTGATGTGTGACAATTGAACACATTGTAGTAGAACGCAACTAGCGGTCAGCGTATTATCTAATTTGACCGGGTGGCTAGGTGGGTAAGGCGCTGGCTCGCTAACATGGAGGTCTGGTGTTCGATCCCTGCATTTGCCGAGAAAGTTCTCCCGATTTTCCGACGTGGTTTCCCCTTGTCAGTTATGCAGGACGGGGGGCCTGACAAGGACAGCTGTCTAGTCCTTCGGATAATACGAAAAACCGAGGTCCCGTGTAAACATAGGAATGCACGTAAAAGATCCCTTGGCAGTTGGAATTCGATATAAGAGTAGGCGATAGTGCCGCTGCCTGGGCAAAATTTCCCTCATAGCACATTGTTTGGCATATGCCCGTTTTCATTAGCCCAGTATAGGAGCAGAACAGTAGGACGTTAAACCCCATTTTATTCATTTTTATTTTGGATCTAACTTGGCTACTAAACATATGCCAGCCGCTGGGCCTTTGTTAAATTACACAATGGTATGGTCAATTAAAGGACATCGGAGATTGTATCACACAAGCTGTCATATGATGATTCTAATCCTTTACCTATCACTGTCGCTCATATTATGTAACAATTCCTCCATTGCCAACAGTTTGTGAAACAAACAAAAATAGAATACGTATGTACGTGTTTTATTCGTTTCATATTTTATAATAACGTTAGAAATAACGTTGAGTAAATTTTATCAAAATGAGCAGTGATTAGCCTGACATGTGCAGTGAACATCCTGAAATGTATGGCGGTATATTAGATTCAAATTCTATAATTTCTAAATTAAGACAATGTATAATCCAACTTATTTGTTCAGTGTTAATTGTAATT